AGAGAGAGAGACCAGAGAGAGAGACCAGAGAGAGAGACCAGAGAGAGAGCGTGACCAGAGAGAGAGACCAGAGAGAGAGAGAGACCAGAGAGAGACCAGAGAGAGACCAGAGAGAGACCAGAGAGAGAGAGAGACCAGAGAGAGACCAGAGAGACCAGAGAGAGAGACACCAAGAAGAGCAGTGAGGGACCAGGAGAGAGTGACGGACCAGAGGAGAGACGACCAGAGAGAAGATGAGGGACCAGGAGGAGGAGTGACGGACCAGGAGGAGCAGTGAGAGACACCAAGAAGAGCAGTGAGGGACCAGGAGGAGGAGTGACGGACCAGGAGGAGCAGTGAGAGACACCAAGAAGAGCAGTGAGGGACCAGGAGGAGGAGTGAGGGACCAGGAAGAGCAGTGAGAGACACCAAGAAGAGCAGTGAGGGACCAGGAGGACGAGTGAGGGACCAGGAGGAGCAGTGAGGGACCAGAAAGAGCAGTGAGAGACACCAAGAAGAGCAGTGAGGTGGTCAGGTTGTAGTAAACATGTCTGTAGAGTCTGATAGACGATTAAACTGACCTCCCCACTTTGGTGTTGGAGGAGGTGGAGGAGGAGGTGGAGGAGGAGAAGCTGAAGGATTTGGACTGAACTGTTCCTCCTGAAACACAAACCACAGTTTCACATGATTGGTGTGATGTCACATTTACTTACACAGTCAGGGGAGGAGGAGTCAGAGGAGGAGGAGTCAGAGAGGATTCAAGGGAGAAGGGGTCAGAGGAGAGTCAGAGGAGGAGTCAGAGAGGAGTCAGAGAGGAGTCAGAGGAGAGTCGGAGGAGGAGTCAGAGAGGAGTCAGAGGAGAGTCAGAGAGGAGTCAGAGGAGGAGTCAGAGAGTAGTCAGAGGAGAGTCAGAGAGGAGTCAGAGGAGGAGTCAGAGAGGAGTCAGAGGAGAGTCGGAGGAGGAGTCAGAGAGGAGTCAGAGGAGAAGGAGTCAGAGGAGAGTCAGAGGAGGAGTCAGAGGAGGAGTCAGAGGAGGAGTCAGAGAGGAGTCAGAGGAGGAGTCAGAGAGGAGTCAGAGAGGAGTCAGAGGAGAGTCGGAGGAGGAGTCAGAGAGGAGTCAGAGGAGAAGGAGTCAGAGGAGAGTCAGAGAGGAGTCAGAGGAGGAGTCAGAGAGGAGTCAGAGGAGGAGTCAGAGAGGAGTCAGAGAGGAGTCAGAGGAGGAGTCAGAGAGGAGTCAGAGAGGAGTCAGAGGAGAGTCGGAGGAGGAGTCAGAGAGGAGTCAGAGGAGAGTCGGAGGAGGAGTCAGAGAGGAGTCAGAGGAGGAGTCAGAGAGGAGTCAGAGGAGAGTCGGAGGAGGAGTCAGAGAGGAGTCAGAGGAGAGTCGGAGGAGGAGTCAGAGAGGAGTCAGAGGAGAAGGAGTCAGAGGAGAGTCAGAGAGGAGTCAGAGGAGGAGTCAGAGGAGGAGTCAGAGGAGGAGTCAGAGGAGGTGTCAGAGGAGGAGGAGTCATTAAGAGTAGTAGTGAACATACCAGATAAAGTGGATTATAATCCAGTGGACTCTGACTCCTCCTCTGACTCCTCTCTGACTCCTCCTCTGGAGTCAGAGGAGGAGTCAGAGAGGAGTCAGAGAGGAGTCAGAGGAGGAGTCAGAGGAGGACCTACTGTCTGTCTTGTGGACGTAGCTGGTCACGGTGCTCAGAGTGGATCTACTTCCATCTGAAAGAAACAAAGGTTTTATTGTCCTCCTCCTCCTCCCTCCTCTCCCTCCCTCCTCACCTCCCCTCTCTCCTCTCTCTCCCTCACCTCCTCCTCTCCCCTCTCTCACTCCCCTCCACCTCTCTCCTCACCTCCTCCTCTCCACCTCTCTCATTCACATCCCCCTCACCTCCTCCTCTCCCCCCTCTCACCTCCTCCTCTCCCCCCCCATCCTCTCTGACTCCCCCTCACCTCCTCCTCTCTCCTCTCACCTCCTCACCTCTCTCCCCCTCTCTCACCCCCTCCTCCTCTCCCTCAACCTCCTCCTCTCTCCCTCACCTCCTCCTCTCTCCTCTCTCCACTCCACCTCCTCCTCCTCACCTCCTCTCTCCCTCACCTCCTCCTCTCTCCCCTCACCTCCTCCTCCTCTCTCCTCTCTCACTCACCTCCTCCCTCACCTCATCCTCTCTCCCTCACCTCCTCCTCTCTCACTCACCTCCTCCTCTCTCCCCCCTCCCTCACCTCCTCCTCTCTGTGTGTTTTCAGTCCGTGCAGAAAGAAGATCTATGTCTGCAGTTGCTGCATCAGGACCGGACCCTCCTGGAGCTGGAGGAGGAGCTACAGAGACTGACCCGGGACCTAGACCTAGACCTACACCCGGACCTGGACTTGGACCCAAACCTGGACCCAGACCTTGCCCTGGCTCTGCAGACCCTGCTGAAGCAGAGGAAGGCTCTGGAGGAACAGCAGCTGCAGAATGAGGAGGAGCTGCAGCAGGAGGTGTTCTGGAGACAGGAGCTAAAGGAGGAGACCCGGAGAGCAGCAGGTGACCACAAACAAAGTGATGAACTGGTCTCTCTAGTCTCTCTCTGGTCTCTCTCTGGTCCCTCTCTGGTCTCTCTCTGGTCTCTCTCTGGTCTCTCTCCAGTCTCTCTCTCTGGTCTCTCTCTGGTCCCTCTCTGGTCTCTCTCTGGTCTCTCTCCAGTCTCTCTCTCTGGTCTCTCTCTGGTCCCTCTCTGGTCTCTCTCTGGTCTCTCTCCAGTCTCTCTCTCTGGTCTCTCTCTGGTCCCTCTCTGGTCTCTCTGGTCTCGCCCTGGTCTTTCTCTGGTCTTTCTCTGGTCTCTCTGGTCACTGGTCTCTCCCTGGTCTCTCTCTGGTCTCTCTCTGGTCTCTCCCTGGTCTCTCTCTGGTCTCTGTGGTTGATTCCTGGTCTCCCTGGTCTCTCACAGAGCTGAGCGCCCGTCTGCAGCAGCTCCACTGGTCCCTGCACCATCAGACCCAGCGGTTGTCCTCTCTGGTGTCTCACTCTGAGGCTCTTCAGTCTGACACTCACACACACACAGAGGCCGCTCTACAACCACTGAAGCTGGAGCTACAAGAGCGCCACCTTCAGGCCCAGAGCATCACTGCAGCTTTGGAGGAGATGCAGAGACAGAAGTTTCACACAGACGCCCACATGAGGGTGAGGGTCTCTCTGGTCTCCCTCTGGTCTCTCTAGTCTCTCTCTGGTCTCTCTCTGGTCTCTCTCTCTGGCCTCTCTCTGGTTTCTCTCTGGTCTCTCTCTGGTCTCTCTCTCTGGTCTCTCTCTGGTCTCTCTCTCTGGTCTCTCTATGAGCTCTCTCTGGCCTCTCTCTGGTCCCTCTCTGGTCTCTCTGGCTTCTCTCTGGCTTCTCTCTGGTTTCTCTCTGGTCTCTCTCTGGTCTCTCTCTGGTCTCTCTCTGGTCTCTCTCTGATCTCTCTCTGGTTTCTCTCTGGCCTCCCTCTGGTCTCTCTCTGGTCTCTCTCTGGTCTCTCTCTGGTTTCTCTCTGGTCTCTCTCTGGTCTCCCTCTGGTCTATCCCTGGTCTCTCTCTGGTCTATAACCATGTGTCCCTCAGACCCAGAGGCAGCTTCTGGACGACCTGAACAAGGAGCTGCGACAGTGGAACCTGCAGCAGTTCATCCTCCAGGCCTCAGGCTCCACCCCATCCGACATCCAATCAGCAAACGATTCTGGACCCATCCAATCAGCAAATGGTTCTGGACCCACCGACGTCACCAACATCTACCTCAGCAATGCGGGCATCATGGAGTAGACGTGTGACATCACCAGAGCGCTAGCTTTAAAGCAGAGGAAGCCGATATTAGCTAGCTTGAACAAGTTATTCTTGGTAGCAACAACTAAGCAACCAAGAGCCAATCACGAGCAGCGCCAGGTTCCATATTCTCTCGGTACCAAAACAGAAAGATCCTGATTGGTCGGTTTTTGAGGCTCATGTCTGGTCTCCCTCGCTGTGGTCGCTCTCTGGTCTCTCTTTCGGATCTTTTCTGGTCTTTCACGCCAGTTTCTCTGTGGTCCATGGTCTCTCTTTCTGGTCTCTCTCTCTGATCTTTATGGTCTCTCACTCCAGTGTCTCTCTAGTCTGTGGAGTTTCTCCCCCTCTGCTCTCTCTCTGCTCTCTCTCTCTCTGGTCTCTCTCTCCAATCTCTCCCTGTCCCTCTGTCTCTGGTCTCTCTCTCTCTCTGGTCTCTCTCTCTCTCTCTGGTCTCTCTCCCTCTCTCTCTGGTCTCTCTCTCCCTCTCTCTTCTCTCTGGTCTCTCTCTCTCTCTGCTGCTCTCTCTCTCTATTTATTTATTTATTTATTTATTACTGGGACAGTGCATATTAATGAACATTTCTGTAAATATGCCAGAATTAGCCAAACGGCTATTTTTCATCCGTAGTCCCATCTGGTCTCTCTCTTTCTCTCTCTCTGGTCTCTCTCTCTCTCTCTTGGTCTCTCTCCCTCTCTCTGGTCTCTCTCTCCAATCTCTCCTTGTCGCTCTGTCTCTGGTCTCTCTCCCTCTCTGGTCTCTCACTTGGTCTCTCTCCCTCTCTCTCTGGTCTCTCTCTCTCTCTGATATCTCTCTCTCTGATATCTCTCTCTCTGGTCCCTCTGGCTTTTCTCTGGTCTCTCTCCCTCTCTCTCTGGTCTCCCTCTCTCTCTGGTCTCTCTCTCTCTCTGGCCTCTCTCTCTGGTCCCTCTGGCTTTTCTCTGGTCTCTCTCTCTCTCTCTGGTCTCTCTCTCTCTCTGGTCTCTCTCTTGGTCTCTCTCTGTTTTCTGCCTTGTAAGCTGTATGTTTATATTTAAATATTCACAGATAAGTTTATTCCTGAGTACCTATAGCCATGTTATTCTATTCTCACAACAGTATCTTATTATCATTATTTTCAGGTTGTTTACTTTATTGTTCATTTCATTGTAATCTGTTGTGAAATACTTTGCAAGCTAAGTCTAAGTCTAATATGTAAAAAGTGTAAAGTGATACTGTGTGAAAAGACTCCGGAACAGTTAAAAAATGAAGAGAACGAAGAAGTATGTGTTTGGTAAATGTTTGTAATTATCAGGTTTTTGTGAGATTTTTTTAATGATAGATCCGTCCCTGCAGGCTCCGCTCAGACCATGGATCAAGTGTGCGATCTGTGACTGAAACTGGAACAACAACATGAGGCTGAGGACATTTAGCTTTTATTGTTGAAATAAACAGTAAATAAACAGTTTTTAACACTATTTACATTATTTAAAGATGAATTCAGAGGATTCACATCACGTTTGAAAAGAGAGCATTAGGACAGAAAGGGCGGGGGGATGAAATATGTGAAATATTGAGAGTGTGGCCTCTCTGGTCTGTGGTCTTTCTCTGGTCTCTCTCTGGTCTGTGGTCTTTCTCTGGTCTCTCTCTGGTCTGTGGTCTTTCTCTGGTCTCTCTCTGGTCTGTGGTCTTTCTCTGGTCTCTCTCTGGTCTGTGGTCTTTCTCTGGTCTCTCTCTGGCCTCTTTCTGGTCTCTCTCTGGTCTGTGGTCTCTCACACTGGTCTCTCTCTCTGGTCTTTCTGTCTGGTCTCTCGCTGGTCTCTCTCTGGCCTCTTTCTGGTCTCTCTCCTGTTTGCTGTTAGCATGGATATTAGTGTGGATGGAGCTAAAAACAAACGCAGGTCTGTGACTGAAGTGGGTTGCAGTGTCAGCAGTCCTCCGCTAGGGGGCAGCAGCAGCTTCTTCTCTGAGTCACTACAGCAACTACAGCGATCTCCTTTATAAGGAGCAGGACTAGACCAGGACTAAAGCAGGACTAGACCAGGACAAAAGCAGGACTAAAGCAGGACCAGACCAGGTCGAAAGCAGGACTAGACCAGGTCAAAAGCAGGACTAGACCAGGTCGAAAGCAGGACCAGACCAGGTCGAAAGCAGGACTAGACCAGGTCGAAAGCAGGATTAGACCAGGTCGAAAGCAGGATTAGACCAGGTCGAAAGCAGGACTAGACCAGGACAAAACCAGGACTAAATGAGATGTAAAGCAGGCCTAAAGAAGGACTCAACCAGGTCTAAAGCAGGACTAAACTAAGACTAAAGCATGAAAAAAGCAAGTCTAAGGCAGGGTTCAGGACTGGTCTTGCTCAATACAGGTCCAAAGGGTCTTCTGGTGCTGACCGCTGCAGAGTTTCCTTAAACCAGACCAGTTCAGCTGGACTTAGGTCTGAAACCAGTGAACCGAGAGAACAGAGAGAACAGAGAGACCAGAGAGAGACCAGAAAGAGACCAGAGAGAGACTAGAGAGACCAGAGAGAGACAAGAGAGAGACTAGAGAGACCACAGAGAGACCAGAGAGACCAGAGAGAGCAGAGAGAAAGGAACAGAGACTTGTTTGTCTCTCTCTTATGATAACTGCAAACACCAGTTACCTTTACATGAAATCAGAAGGAAACGTTGTGTGTCTCATTTTGTCTTTTTCTGTTCTCTGGATTCTTTCTGGTCTCTCTCTCTTCGGTCTCTCTGTTTGGTCTCTCTCTGGTCTCTCTGTCTGGTCTCTGTCTGGTCTCTCTCTGGCCTCTCTCTCTGGTCTCTCTCTGGTCTCTCTCTGGTCTCTCTCTTGTCTCTCTCTGGTCTCTCCCTCTGGTCTCTCTCTCTCTCTCTCTTGTCTCTCTCTGGTCTCTCTCTCTCTCTCTCTTTCTCTGCTCTCTCCTTGGTCTCTCTCTGGTCTATCCCTGGTCTTCTCAGAGTCCTGCTCTTGCCCCTCAGTGCAGTTTTGGCTGTTGTCTCTGGTACAGCCCTCTCTGGTACAGTTCTCTCGGGTACAGCCCTCTCTGGTACAGCCCTCTCTGGTACAGTCCTCTCGGGTACAGCCCTCTCTGGTACAGCCCTCTCTGGTACAGCCCTCTCTGGTACAGCCCTCTCTGGTACAGCCCTCTCTGGTACAGCCCTCTCTGGTACAGCCCTCTCTGGTACAGCTCTCTCTGGTACAGCTCTCTCTGGTGTCTCAGATGGTGCTGGTACAGTCCTGGTGTCTCAGATAGTGGTGGTGGAGTAGGTGGTGGAGAAGTTGTCCATGCGTAGCCTGGGCGCGGTCTGTCCTGTAGGGGGCGCTGTGGGGCAGCAGACTTCGCGACACGCCTTCCTGAAGTTCTCTGAGAGGAAAGCGTAGAGCACGGGGTTCACGCAGGAGTTAGCGTACGCCAAACAGTGCGCCGCGATGCGAAAGGCGAAGGAGGCGTCGGTCAGAGGGAAGTGTCCGAACTCCACCCACAGAACGATGACGTGGTGCGGGAGCCAGCAGAGGGCGAAGGCCAGCACCACCAGCAGCACTGTCTGCACCGTCTGAGAGAGAGGGCGGGGTTAGGCTACAGGGTTAGCAATGGCTAAGCTAGTTAGCGCTACTAATGTGAGGTCTGTAACACAGGTGTAATGTGAGTTCTGTAACACAGGTGTAATGTGAGGTCTGTAACACAGGTGTAATGTGAGGTCTGTGACACAGATGTAATGTGAGGTCTGTAACACAGGTTAAATGTGAGGTCCTTCACACAGGTGTAATGTG